AACAATTGTCTGCTATTACCTATTGCCGCTGCCTTTTCCATCTCTCTTGCTTTCGCTACCCACCACTGTTCGCGATCATTGCGTAGACTTCTTGTCAGCTTGCGCTTAAGCTGACTCCGCTCTTCATTATGTTCAGAGCCAGGTGGAATGAGTTTCCGAGCATCTATCAGTGCGATAGATGCTGCTGAGATCCAGTGTTGCTCCCTAACCTTCTGGTTTACCTTACTAGCAGATATCACTGCTGTTTCCACAGCTTTTCGGATATCATTCCATGCTGCCTCGGGGTGGGCATCACATACATGGCTGCCTAACTGTTTTCCTAGTTGTTCCTGAAATATACTCTTAGCTTGACTATCATTAAGTAGGCCCTAAGAGGTTTCCTTGCATCGTCTTTCCTACGTCCAGTAAGACGCAAGCAAATACGCGCTCGCACTAGAGCATGATCTGAATCTAGGCATGTGCTCCAGAATGAGCGACAGTCTTCTATCGAGCCCCTCCATCGGTGGCTGATAGCGATGTGATCTATTTGGGTCCAACGTTGGGACGAATTAGGGGGTCGCCATGTTAAAAGATGTTTTTCCTTATGCTTAAAGTTAGTATTTGCAAGGAACAGGCGGTTATCTGAGCATAGCTGCAACAGACGGTCGCCATTATCTGTTCTTTGAGCCACGACACCATAAGATCCACCTAGGTGTCTTTCCCTATCGCTTAGTTTACCTACTTGAGCATTAAAGTCACCGGCCACTATTACTACATCCGAGCGCCTAGCTTTTCGGAGGTCCGAAAGCTTTCTGTAAAACTCATCTTTTACATCATCTGAGCTGCAGTCAGTGGGAGAATAGGCAGAGACGACGAAGAGGCAACGACGAGTGTCCCTATCTTTCCGGATCCTTACTGTTCCGTTCAGTCGGACAGCGCACAAACGACTGTCTACTGGGATCCACTCTAAGAGAGCTAGTTCTGCCCTAGGACTCAATGCTATACCTACACGAGAAGCAGAATCAGGGCTTCCAGATACACGAAGTGTGAATCGAGTCGGTTCTTTATTTTGGCATGGTGAGGTCAAATGAATGACGCTACTCGGATCCTGTATGCGCGTTTCGGAGACGCAGCACACATCGATGGCGCGAGATTCTAAAGTTTTAGCTAAGGAAGCCTGCTGTCCTATTTGGCAAAGTGTTCGTACGTTAAAAGCTCCTACGTGTAGTTTAGAGCGTGGTTTCAGGAGACCAGGAATGGCGTTCCACGTACTCAAATCGTTTGCCCTAGCGGTGCGAGGTGATAAAGAGACGTGAGGAGGGTTAGTCATGGAGATAAGAGAGGTATTAGGAGGTGTAGGAAGGATTTGAATGTGACCAACTTGGTCTTGTGTGCTGTTACGGGTATGAGGGCTGATGTCACTTCCCGGCTGCCCACACCGTGGAAGGGTATTTCTTGAGGAACCTGAAAAAAAATCGGATTAGTGTTGGTCTTGACGACCTGGGAGCGTGACCGCAGAGCCCAAGGGACAACTGCTTGAGGCCGGTCGCGCACGGCCTTTTTGTGGAAGGTTTTTGATGTTAGCTCCGTTCTTCAAAGGGCCTTACCGCCGGAGACGGAAATCCGTGAGGTAAGGTGAGGTGTGACATTTTTAGGGTCGACCTTTTCTAACCCCACCCCTCCTTGTGGGAAGGCAGCATCGCTGTAGATGCTGGTTGTCCGAGGGAAACACATTACTGCTGTCACACCCCTCCACAGTCAGCAGTACGACTTCGCCTTCAGACCTTGAGTTGCTACTTTTAATCTTACCGTTCTCCAATCGACCTGCCTGGCATGGCAGAACCTACAGAAACATATGTTCTATCCAATATAGCTCGGTCGGGTCATCACGATAGGCAATACCGACCACCGCGTCAAGGTAGCAGCTACGGTCGGGTTGGCCACAGTATCGTTATCCCCAGAGATCTTCGACACCAAGTCCTTAAGCAGTTCCATAGCGGGCATCCGGGGATAGCTAGAATGGAATCACTAGCTCGAAGCTACGCATATTGCCCGTCAATGGACCATGACATAGGACAAAAGTGTCGCAGTTGTTGGTCCTGTCCAGAGGTCGCAAAGAATTTGCGCCGGTCCAATACAAGACAGAAATTACTTGGTTGTTGTCGATGCTTTCACAAAATGGCCAGAGGTATACAACATGCCAAAAACGACATCAGAGAACACAATAAAAAATTGTCAGGATTTTTTGCTTGTTTTGGGGTTCTAGGGATCTTATTAACTGATAACTGCATTCGGTTTATGTTATTTCCTTTGAAACGGTTTTGTAGGGAAAATGGCATATCGCATCTACAGTCTCTTCCGTACCATCCTCAGTCAAATGACTAAGCAGACAGATTCGTGCATACGAGAAAAAATAGGTCTGGTCAAAGTGGGAGGAAAGTGTATTCCAGAACAAGTGATCAGTAAATTCTTAATGTCTTACAGAGTTATCCCCAATCCGACAGTGCTAGAAGGAAAGTCACCGGCTGAGTGTACATTCTGAAGTACATTTTTGATAATCTTTCATAGTATGCTGCCGACCAACAAGATAAACCCACGAACGAGTACCGGACGGTCATTCGCAGCTTCCAGGTGGGCGAAAAGTTACCTGTCAAGTCGTATCAAGGTAAGAGGGAGTGGGAACCAGGGGTTATTGAACGTCGGATTGGAAATGTACTGTAATTAGTCCAGAGAGCGGCACAACCTTCAACAGTGATGGACCGCAAGAGGAATGCGGTGGACCTGAGGAAGTCTTACACAAGAGACTTTAAAAATGTGTGAAAATGGCCCACGGGTGAACCCTAGGAAGCTCAGAAAGAGCCGAAGATATTCCATCCAACCATCTTTTAGAAGAATATTCCAGAATATCTACGTGTAGCTTCCGTATGGGAAAAATGGTAAGAACCCCCCTGTACGCAGATTGGATGACTATAATGATTTCGTTTTTACTAAAAACTATAAATACCTGAAAGTTTTGTACCATAGCTGACACTGCTTGGAATAGCATTCCTTTCACTTGTCTCTGTTTTCTCATTTGCGAATTACAGGGTTTTAGCGTTCGAGTGCTCGAATGTACGCCGTCTATTAAACATTTAAACTCTAGATATAAAAAACAAGAGTTGAGTGTGAACAGGTTCTAATAAGCTGCAGTAAAGTAAATTAATGGTTTGGTATCTACATGGCACTGAATCCTTATGGAATAAGCATAACTCAACCGTAAGACGATAACTGGATTGATGGGTGAAATTCGTTGCTGTACTCCAATCAATGATGGTCATAAAATGCAAAGTCAGTGAACGTCGTTGTTCGCGTTGTGACCAGATGCATCGAGTCATCGTTAAATATGTATTAGTAGGATGACCAGAGGAACAGAATAGTGACTGCGGAGATGAGATACATGGAGTTGTATTCATTTTTGTTCGTGAAGCTTAGAGTGGTTTGTGTGGTTTGAGAAGGATGCGTTCGACCTCGTTTGCTAAGAGCCGTACTAAGGCATGACGAAATACCAATACATCTGATGATCGATGACGGACGAATGAAACAAGGGTGTATCCTTGAAAGAAAAGCTTCACATTCTATGTTGAGACGGGAATAGAAATTTAACCGCAGTAATCAAGTAATGTTTATGGGTAATGAATGTTGTAGAACACCGTTATACATATGAACGAATAGACAAGGTGAGCATAGTTGTTACTAATCGACTAGTAGTGTAAACTCATCCACAGACATACAAGGAGACAATATTTTGAGGAAAAATCTATAGTATGATAATATTTAAAAAATCTGTTGTGTGAACGTTTGTAATAACAGAACAAAAACAAAACGAGAAAAATGGAACTCACTTAGAGTAGGAAATTTTGACGTCATGAATAATACAAAGATAGTCCAGTGAGTTGCAAATGTCACAACGTGAATGGGATACTCATAAAATTATAATTTGATGAGTGAGTAATATAAATGCGTAAACGTCATAATATAATATCAAGACGAGCAGCAATAATACTTAGACATTTTGAGATAATATGACAACAATGTGAGTGTGACAACGTTTATAATCATAACGGAATGATCCGGTAGATGGATCGGTGAGATGAGTTGACACGGGGATAAAGTACCATTAAGATAATACGATTTGAGCATGTCCATGTTCTTGCTTTGCTTAATGCGACAGATTAGATATTGAGTCTTTCGAGTTGCTCGTCAACAAAGATAGGTGATTAGTTCGAACAACGGCTTACCAATTTTGTAGCGGTATGATGATTTCATCGACGAGGTTAACGATTGAGCAAACTCCGTTGAGTTCGTTCGTCAAATGTAGAGTGCAGAAAGTTCTTCGGAGACATAGTTTGCAGAGTAAAATTCGTGGTGAAGCTCATTAGTTTTAACCGCCCTGTATTCGACTACAGTTGGATTGTATGCTGATTGTGATCGAAATACACATGTTGCCTATCCTCGTATATTTCATTGACTTGAATCGCGTTAGCGAGTAACGGAATTAAATAAGTTAAATTCGAGAATGGAGTTTGAATACATATATTTCACACAATCGTCGATCAGAACAGACAATCAGAGAAACTCAGCGAAGGAAGCGAAGAAGAGAGAGCGAAGCCAAACGAATTGGAGAAGGTAAGTGAGCCAACTCAATTTAATCAAGCGTTACTCAATATCTATAGTCAAACAAAAAACAAGTTACAGACATATGATGAATGGGATAAGCAATCAACACATATGCGATCACATAAAAAGTCAGAATAAATCAGCAAGTCCAAAACGTGGTTTAAGAAGAATGAACAGACTGGTATGTCCAGAAACCAGAACAACCCATATGTGCAGCAGAGTATTTGTGAACGACAGTCGATGGGTCATGTTATGTGTGTTCACAAATTGGAATGGAAGGTCAAAGGTTGTGTTTTGTGAAAGACAGTTTTACAGGTAATAATGGTAATGGTACAAATTGTAAGAATTGATGAGAAATGCAACTAGTAACAAAACTAATTACAAAGATCTTGCTGTAACTTCTAACTTACAACGCCCATTGAATGGAAGCGAGTAAAATTTGAGGTAGCCCAAGGCAATATCTTCGGCCAACTATTTTTTCTTTTCTACGTCAATGAAATGCCAATATTTCTTCAGTCGCAGCTGCCAAAGATTTTCATGCGATATGGTCACTTCACTGAGTATGCAAATGCTCTGACGAGATGTTTCGAATTTTTATATCACCTATGTAAGGTAACACTGATTGTACGACCATCGCAAGAACCTCAAGCAGGTAGGCTGTAATACAAAAACATTATCCTTATGGCTTGAAATCTGCGAACAGGTTAATATCAATTACGTGCGTAATGTCTTACTTTACTCAACGAACTAAGTCATCATGTCTAATTATCATACACAAAATAATGAGTCAAGTCAACTAATAAGAAGTTTTTGTACAAAGCCTACACTTCTAAGTCGTTAACGAATGATTTAGTCAACATTAAGCCTGTTCAAATACATTTACGTTGTTATAAATTTAGATATGACAATGCCGACAAGTAACTTCTGGTTTTGTTTAACCAGTAATACCTAAGCACACGAAAAGTTACCCATTCATGTACGATTCGCTGAATCCATGAACATGAAACAATACGAGAAATCATATGAATAATAACACTAAAAATTGCACTTAGGATCGAAATTGAGAATAAATACATCATACATATAGATTTGGTTTGGTAGAAAGACTAATTCTACTCAAGGTTAGAAATTAACACAGATCAACAACTCAAGAACTCCCAGTCAGAAAGTACCTGACAAAAGTTCCCACAAGATATTAGTTGGGTGCCTGCACTCTAGTCGGAGTGTCACAGTAGTTACGGCGTCCAAATTCGGCCACTATGTCCCAGGTTTGAATCTCGCTCCATTCACTTCAGTATGGTCAACTGGATAGTATCATTAACCTTCATAAATACGATGTGATTCATAACCAAATACCTAGTGCGTGTGCAATAAGATATGGAGCGTACAAAAAACACAAATATTCAGACTATAGCAGTCTTATCGCATAGAAACATACGAAAAATTAGACAAAACATGCGAATATTAATATCTATGTATTACTTACAAGTTATTGGTGACTGCGCACTTGGGAGGTAAGTGAAAAGTCCCAAATCAGTACATGGCACAGATGACTCCAGAATATGTGGATACTTTTCAGCCTGATGATGTACAACTAACCAGGTAGCGTTGAAAAGTATAATTTGTAAAATTGATGAAGCAAACACCTTGGAGACACGCCGATATGGCAGCAAATCGCAACATGTCCAACGAGCGGTAACTAGTGTACAGTACGAAGTATCCAAGGAAATGAGGGGTTAACTTAAACAACAGTACCTAGGCAACGACGGTTATAAGTAAATAGAACTCGAGAACAGCGTGAAGAATAACTGAGATCACTTACAAACGTAGTCAACATTAACCATTTTTGCAAATCTGGAGATTCAAACACTACACCAGCATTCGAACACTGAATATGAATTCGGTGGTTCATGTATCCAAATTCAACTCATTCTCAGTGGTACAATGCAGTGACATAGGAACAACATCTGTGTACACTAACTCTTGCTGGATATTTTCATATCGTAAGGTGGATTTCGTTCTTTTGTTGCGTAGAAGAATTATTCTAAAAAATCATTGTAAATGAGGTTGTGAGTTCACGCCCAAAACTTCATGGTATTCATATTAGTAATGTGAATTTCACAACCATGTTATGCCTCAATTGTCTGAAGATAATGTATGTTACTTTTGATTTATCAGGCCTTAAATTGTGAACAGATTGGTTTTCAGGTAAGCTTCTCATATGTTCGAGCAAACATGGAAAACAATCATCAAATTTAATTTGAAGCAGTGGATGTTATCACGCACCTGTATGAATAATCATGACCTTTGTGAACATCAATTATTCTAGCACTTATAGTTATCCCACCAACCTAACAATTTTCCTCGCCAGTTACTCAGCAGTAAGTAACCTTCAGGATGTTTCGTACATGTGTGTATGCTAGCACGATTGTGTATTACTCTCACGAATATAGAAGTTGGACAGCGTTTCAATTAAACTCAGTTTTCTGTTTCTGTCACTTCAGTTTCTATGAACTTTTTAAAAAATTTCTTATGCGGTCATGAGACCAAACTAGAGTCAGAGGGTGGTCGTCAGAAATTAGTCGACGCAATCTAAGAAGAAACTATTTAATGAGCGCTTCATCTGATTAGAGTACTCGACAAGCCACACAAATTCGACCACTTCAAACAACTGATTGGAACTTAAAGAGCTGAGGTTCATTAGTTCGTCTTTCACCAAATAGGACACTGGTTCAAATATATAATTGCCAGTCCAAGCTGGGAAACCATGGAGTTTGTAAATTAAACAAATATAGTCGGTAATGAACTAAAACATGTCAGCTACCAGCAAATTCAATTTTGTTGACTTGATCTTGCGGATTCAGGCCTTTCCAATAAGATCGGTAGACGAAGTGGACAACAGTGAATGCTGTAGTCCCTGAAATCAGCAGAGGTTTCACTGTCAGTTAACCCGCACATCCAAGAACTGTCGTCGTATCTGATGAAGTCACACTCATGATTGTGATGCGCATTCCAACGAACAACAACCCAATAATCCTCAGTAAATTTACAATAGATGAATGCCAGGCATTGAATGCTCATTACAGCCCTTCATGAACAGTGTAATAACATTAATCAACTAACCTCCTTCGCCTAATAGGCTGTGGAGACGAACTAGGTGTTCTATGACCATTTCTTCAACATATAAATAGAATAGACGGCTTCTGACTCTTGTGGAAACGAGAGTCGCGAACAGTATAAAAACAGTACATCGCTCCCTTTCGTAATTTCTGATTACGCTCTTTAGCGTTCCAAGCGATTGGAAAGCTACCAAATACAACGTGCTCAAGAATACGTTACCCATGTCAGTGACAACGTTCGAAACGATACAGCTTGCGCTTTGTACGTTATTTACGTTCACAATCAGGAGAAAAAAGTTGATTAGTCTAGAAGTATTTGCCTCTTGTATCGATTTGAAGAAGTAAACAACCGACTGTTACCTTTCAAAACCAGCCATTTAATTGGCCAAAACGGTATAAAAACTTTCGAAACTGAATGTGAAATTTCCCTGTGACTTCAACCCGCCCCATCAAAAACACCTCAGGTGTTCCAGAGAGATATAACGCTGTGTTTTATAAAAACTCTCAAACTTAAGTGGATTCATTGCACATCGCAACGCATCTTCCACAAATCGCGCCATTCTAATGCTTCAAGTTGTTGTGGATGGAAAAATAGAAGCCTGCGCTGAACGGGCCTCCTTATCTACTAGCAGTGGATCACCAATACCTCCAGACATGAACCCAGGTATATTAGCGATAAAAGAGGAAGAAACTGGTAAATCATACCAAAATATTATCCTCAATCCTTAAGAATAGGTCAAGTTGCCTCTTCAAGGACTTCTGCAAAGTCGCTTGGACAAGCTCAGCCGGCAGCAAATCCCAGGATTTGACTACTATTAGGAAGTAGAAAGTGTGTCTACAGTCCGTTCTGCTGTGTAATGTCTCCAGTTTTTGGGTGGTAGCCTATATAATAATGGTCTAATATGATATTAGTACTGCTCTAATAATAGACCTAAACCTAAAATTGTAGATTTGTCACGATGGAACTGCCTAATCTACAAGACCTTACGTGGGAGTTGTGGTGGACCAGACAAATATGAACGTGAAAAAAATGTTAACTAAGTTATAAAGAGCAAATAATAATGTCAACAGTTGCAAATACAACAGAAAAGTGGGGACTTTACTTAAGTTCATCAAGTTGATGCGTGTTCGGATTGGTCTGGTACGGAAAATCCAAGGTCATTCACTAAAACAACAGGTACAGTCATTTAATGATAAGTATACATACAGTGAAAGATTGACAAAATAAATACAAATAATATGAAAAGCTATTTACAAAATAGGCTTGTCATACACTTCTTATAGGTTATGTCATGTCTTAGTTGGGCTCCCAGCGTTCAGTACCAGGTACTCTTCTTTTATTGGTTTGCATAAACGACATTCCACAACGGGTATCGTCTGACATAACTCTTCGCGATGGTGAAGATTTGTAGCTAAGGTGGATGATTCTGTAGCTTGGCGTCGAGTTGAGATTAACTGTGAACACCGCTACCAAGAAACACGTGCCAAGTTAATCAGAAGGCGAAGGTTGAACGTAACCAGATTTATTTGGCTGACGATCTCGTGGTATTGAACGAATACCAAGATCGTGCCAAGGAATGGTACAAGTGGAAGCAGGAGAAAGGAGTACGTGCGAACAGTACCAAAAACCGCGGAACAATGATGGAAGGTAATGGAAGCACAAAATGGCTATAATTAGCACAGTTAAGCAAAAGCACATTAAAACAAACTCTGGTACAGTTGGTTATAATAATAATTGTTTTTATTAAACCAGTCGTGTTCTCGTGATAGATGTGAGTCACTACAGGAGCCCCCCGCTAGAAAAGGTTTACACTTTCGATAAATAGCGGTTTAAGTCGTTGGACTGATCGGCTGACGAGCGATTGTAGGACGGAAGAATTGGCGAAACAGGAAAGCGATCGTTGATCGTCGAGTTGCCAACGCAGGTCTTTTTTGGAGAACGGTACCAGGAGCGATGTGCTGTATTTGTTGCTTGAGTTGGCATGCACACCAGAGTGGTTTGTATCCAGAATCTGAAGATTGCAATCTTAGGGATGCGGATCAGAAAACGCTGCAGACGTAGGACGACACCACGTTGAGCCGAGGAACCAGAAGCGACTATAACGACCAAGTTCGAGACCAAACGTGTACCGAGCATTCGAAGCCAAAATATCAACTGAGTGCGTTGACAAGAGCGTGGGTGGCCAGTCCGGCTCTCTCCGAAGTTGGCTGAAGTCGACGATACCAAGGGAGGATGGTCGGAGGCGTGGGCTCAACATACAGAAAAAATCAAAAAATGAAGACTGTAGCATGCATGTAGTATAGGAATAATCCTACACCGTATTGGTTGTTCACTGTGCGACTAGTCGCGGAAGCGTACAGGTAACCGTACTCGGCGACCGGAACGTGAGACGGTAGTCTCGTTCGCGTCGCGTGAGCCTGCAATCTCATCCGAGGTCAGAGGCGGCGTGGTCTGCTGATCTGGACGTGAGACTGTCGTCTCGTCCGTAGACGGTGCAGATGACGCGTGCTGTTGACTGGGACGTGAGAATGAGGTCTCAGATGTATCTAGCGTGGGACCTGAAGAAGATTTAAGGATCCCGCTAGGTTTGATAGGTCTAGCATTGAATCTCAGGTTATCAGATAGGGCACTGTCATCGACGTGTGCTGGTTTGAGACGATCAATGCTGACGATCTCGACGCGGCCGTGTCGATCAACCTTGAAGGTCTTTTCGTGACGAGCGATCACGCGAAAAGGGCCTTCGTAAGGTTGTTGCAAAGGTTTGCGTACCGAATCTACTCGTATGAAAACATGTGAACAGGTAGATAACTCTCGAGGGAGAGCGACCTGTCGATGTTGTATTCGAGTTGACACCGGAGACAGCGTTCGCATAAATGCAGACAGTCGTTGGACGTAGTCTGATTTAGCGAAATTAGGTCTGCTCCGTGGTGTGAAGAATTCCCCGGGCAGACGCAATGTCGTGCCGTATACAAGTTCAGCGGCGGAACATTGGATATCTGCCTTTAAGCTCGTTCTGATACCTAAAAGAACGAGCGGTAAGGTTTCGTACCAGTCGTCGTTTTCGTGTGCTCGAAGAGCACTTTTAAGTTGCCGGTGAAACCTTTCAACTAAACCGTTTGAAGCTGGATGGTAGGCGGTAGTGCGTATTCGTTCCGTACCAAGCAGCCGAGTAAGTGAGGAGAATAGTGCGGACTCAAATTGTTGTCCTCGGTCAGTCGTGACAGTCGAGGGACAACCATATAGAGCTATCCATCGTTCTACGAAGCGGTGAGCAACTGTCTCCGCCGTGATAGACGTGATGGGTATAGCTTCGGGCCATCTGGTGAAGCGGTCGATGCACGTGAGTATGTGATCATACCCGTGCGATGGTGGCAGTGGTCCTACAATGTCTAAGTGAACGTGATCGAAGCGAGCATCAGGCGTAGCGAATGTACCGAGGGGGGCGGCTACGTGCCTGTGCACTTTTGATCGTTGACATTGTAAGCATTGCTTAGCCCACATACGAACATCTTTATTCATGGACGGCCAGACGTATCGTGCAGCGATGAGGCGTAATGTAGCTGCGATACCTGGGTGAGATAATCCATGCAGGGCATCGAAAACGAGACGGCGATAAGCAGAGGGTACGATGGGTCGAGGAAGACCGGTAGAAGTATCACATAGAATGGTGCCAGAAGTCGTGGCTAGAGGTACTTCCTGATACTGAAGGGACGTAGAGTGTGGTGCTTTTGTACAGCTGGGATCGTTTGCTTGGGCAGCGGCCATAGCAGGAAGATCGAGCACCGGCAGGGT